GAATTGGTTAAAGGATTCTGAACATCTCACGTTACACTGTCCACCTTTACCGAATTGCAGGTAGAGATGCTTTGACTTAAGTAGCAAGCGAGGGGTGATGGCCCAAACGGGAGTCTTTAGATTTTTTAGATGCATTGTTATTTTTTTTATTATGTATCTTTTACACACTTTTGTTTACGCATTTCTTTAAATGAACTATTATTGTATTTCTGATTTTAAATTTAATGAAATGTTCAATTTAAATTCTAATTTAGTAATTTTTTTTTATTGTATTTCATGTTTTTGGTTTAATTATTTTAATTAAAAAAAGTGTAAAATTAATATTTAAAATTGGAACAAAAGGGAAGGAAGGAGAGCTACACCTAGGGTTGTAAACGAATTGAATCGAATCGGATATTCATGAAAAATATTCATATTCGTTAAGATGGAGTGATATTCGAATTCGAATTCGAATTCGGTTCGAATATTTTTTAAGATTCGTATTTGGTTCGTTTAAATATTCGTTTAAAAATATTTTATAACCATTTGATATATATATATATATATATATATATATATAATTTGTATAATTAGATTTATATTCCGTATATATTTGTCAAACTCACGAATCGAATACGAATCACCTTAAACGAATACGAATCACGAATCAAACAAAAAATATTCGATTCATTTACAACCCTAGCTACACCCTTGCAAGGAGAAGAAAAGAGAAAGTAAATGAAAAAAATTATTGTGACGTTAAGTTAGAAGAAAGTTAAGTGGGGATCAATTTTACTAATGTCATTCACACTTTTGAATCTTTAGAAATTGTTTTTCCTTTGTACATAATGTATTTTCTTTCGTTCTAAATAACCGTACGTCTTCTGTCGCGCAAAATTTTCTTGCGTAGTTAGTTTAGACTAAAAAATTATTTAAGATTGATTTTGTTTTTGAAAAAAGTATGTATTTTCAACACACAATCTAAAAGCATCTCGTATGTGCTTTTTAGTTTCTACTTAAATATGAAAAATTAAAAGTCACATTATATCAGTACAACCAAATATTAACAACACATGTGATAAAATCAAGTGAGTGGCAGATCATGATTCATGCTGATTTCTTGAGGGTTCATGCTGATTTTTGAGGCCTTAGTGTATTGATATCATTAAAAAACAGGATCTTTAAAAAAGAAAAAATACGTGTGAGCTCATAAAATGTACGAGAATGCCTACATTTTAAATGTAAACCTTAAGATTACAAAAGAACAACTCGCAAGTGATCGATGCATATATTTCGGCAACTGATTAATTTTATTTTAATTTTATTATTGACGATTTAAATATATAGTACGATCTTTGTAAAGGATATTTGAGTTTTGAATTTGTTTGTAATTGTAATTTTGCTAATGAGACGTCACCGTTATTTCTAGTTTTGGTACGGAGGATGCATTTCTTGAGGTTATATAAAACGCCCATTTCTGAATTCACAATTGCCAAAAGCCGTAACATTTCCCAATAAAAATACTTTCTCCCAATCTTTCTATCTGCCACAAAAAAAAAGTAGAAAAAGAAAAAAAGAAGAGAGTTTTCTTTCGATTTTCAGGCAAGAAATCATGTGTGGCGGTGCTATAATCTCCGATTCGTTACCGTCCAGCCGGTCGTCGCGCCGCCTCATCGCCGATCTGCTATGGGAATCCTCCGATCTGAGCCGCAGCGGCAAGAAGAAGAAGAAGAACTCTTCTTCTGGAAGCGTCTACTCCAAGCCCCTGCGCTCCGATTTCCTCGATGTTGACCAAGAGTTCGAGGCCGATTTCCAGCATTTCAAGGATTACTCTGCCGGCGAGGTCGAGGATGTGAATGTCAAGCCGATTGCTCTCCCGGCTTCAAAGCCATCCGTACTCCCCACTGGTAAGTCTTCTTCTCCGTTGTATTGTACGGTCAAATTCTTCTCCAGTTAATATATGACTTCACCGCATCTTTCCCAAACTCCTCTTGATTAGGGTTTTATAATTGTTTATATGGAGCCTTTGTAATAGAATCAGGGTTAAATTTTCTTCAAAAATTGCAAATAACTGAAAATCTTTTGATATTTTCTGTTATTACCTTTTGTGTGAGAGTAAATTTCATCGATTTAAGGTCCTCAAGCTCTCAGATATGAACTTATACTTTCTTCTGTTATTTTTGTTGCATAATATTTTGCTCAACATTTCCATTTCGTACATGTGCTATGTGTGTGCATCTGTAGTTCTGAATCGTTTAGTAAAATGATTGAGGTCATATTCTGCAAACAAAGATTGAAGTTTTCTGTGGGTAAAAAACGATAGATCTTTGAGCTAAAAGTAGGCACAAAAAGATATGTAACCCTTTATTCATGAAGGCTCCTCGGACTCGGTTTCAACTAATGATGCTGAAAAAACATCGAAGAGGAAGAGGAAAAACCAGTACAGGGGAATCAGACAACGCCCATGGGGAAAATGGGCTGCTGAGATTCGTGATCCAATGAAAGGTGTTCGCGTCTGGCTTGGGACTTTCAACACTGCAGAAGAAGCTGCAAAAGTGTATGATATAGAGGCCAGAAAAATCAGGGGCAAAAAGGCGAAGGTTAATTTCCCCGAAGAAGAAACTCCCCTTCCTCCCAAATCTGATGTTCAAAAATCGAAAACTGTTGGGAAGCAGGCTAGCCCTGTGGAGGTGGGCACACAGCCGGACATGTATCTCATGAACAATATATTGGACAATAATGCTTACTATGAACCGGCGTCTTCCCAGGACAAGAAACCATATGAGTTCAACATGGATGCTTATCCTGCTAGAGGAAACATGTGTTATACCCCCAACCTCTACTTCAACTCTGAGGAAGGTAGCAATTCCTTCGGGTGTCCTGAGTTGGGAGGGTGGGTAGACCCTAATCCAACGACTCCCGAAATATCCTCTGTATTGTCAGCCGTGGTGGAAGCTGACGAAGCTCAATTTGCAGAGGCCAAACCGGAACAGAAAATGAATTTGCCTTGTGATGATGATGAACTATCTGCCCTTGAAGCTGAGATGAAGTTCTTCGAGGCTCCTTCGTATTCTGAGGCAAACTGGGGAACTTCTGTTGATGACAATTTGTTCCTTAATGGAAATGCTATGCTGGATCTGTGGGCATTCGACTATGTGCCATCTTTATTACCAGGGAACACCAATGGATTCTAAGGAAGCAGCAACTCCTCTGCCCCTCCCCTCTGCCATTTCTCCTCAATAATAATAATAACAATAAGGCCTTCATGTGAGTAAAGCTTTCGATTACTGTGTACCATCGTGTGTGATTTTAGGGTTTTATCCGTTTACATGTGATTATAGGGGAGTAAATATGTTCTCTGTTTTAATGAAAACTCGCAAGACTCTTTGAATCAATGCTTGTTTAAACTTTTGATGATGTCTGTATGGATTATGAGAAACCAAGGCATTAGAACTTTTGATGATGTTTGAACATTGCCATTAATGTGTGTGTTTATACCAGTTGCAATTTACTGTCATTTATGTTGCTCATATTTGATGAATCTGTTCTTCATCTCATAATTAGGCTATGTTTGGCACTCTGAGCTAAGCTTATGGGCTAGCTATCTGTTTTTTTTAAATGAAGCTTTTTGAACAAGTTGTGTTTGGTAATGATAGCTCATTTAATACGCTTCTTTGGGTAGGTTTTTTAAACAAGTTAAACATGTCTTTCATCAATATAGTGTTCCATTTTTAGTTCATTTCCTTAAATGTGACCTCAAAACTTGTTTTTGTTTTAAGTAATTTCCATAAATGATCTTTCATAAGAGTGAGTATTCGATACATAGTCTCCAATTTTAAGTATTATATTCGTGGTCCTTTGGTTGAAAACTATTCTATAATTAGTCATTTGAAACCAAATATTGTTTTCCACATGTAATTAGGGGCTGTTTGTTTCAGCCTCTTAATGGTTCAGATGTGTCAATGGTTCAGCACTTAATGGTTCAGACTGTTTGTTTCAGCCTCTTAATGGTTCAGATGTCTGAATGGTTTAGAGATTTGCCTCTGAATGGTTAAGTATTATACAGAGTCTGAATGATTAAGACCTCTTATTTGAATTGATCAGACATTTGCCTCTGAATAGTTAAGCAATATACTAGCTCTTAATGGTTCAGACCTCTTACTGGTTCAGCACTTAACGGTTCAGACCTCTTAATGGTTCAGCACTTACCTATTCAGAAGTTGCCAAACAGCCCCTTAGTTTCAAAGGATTGATAATGGAAGGGTTTTCAAATATGGAGGATCACAAATATAATATCTTAATTATTACTCTTTCGTTTTTTAAGGAATCTAATCACGGAAATCATGAGCATGGGAGCTAATTTTGCCAAACGTAGCCCTAAGTATTTCTACGTTGTGATTTGCAATTATTTTTATCATTAAAAAAATATCTTATGGGTGCATACATTGAATGTTCTTTGTCAATTCATTCACGTGTTGCTGTCCTCAATTTGGTTGGGAAGTCTAAATTTTGCACTAAAAGTGAGAGAAAGATGGTTAGTTGTAACATGGAAATGTGTAGTTGGTGAAATTTAGTCACTATTAAATTGGCTTGTTTTGGAGCAATTTTTTTTATTTGTGTTAATTTTTTGGATAAAATTTTAATGTATGTTAATACTAAATGTCATCATTAGGCAATCTTTTCAAATTGATAATTCTAATATCTCCCAAGTTGTCAAACAAGTGTACATAGGTTTATTAAACATCAATAATTCCATAGGTTTAATTAGAGTAGTTAGCGTCCAATTGTTTGGATGGTTATTCATGAACTATAGTGCTAAAATATGTTGAATTGAAAATTGTTAATGTATTTTTTAAAAAACTTATTTGTTACCTGAATTACTTTGGTGATAATTCTTTAAAACTAATTTGTTATCTGAATTAATTTGGTAATAATATAATTATTTTATTAAATTTATTTATGATATGAAGATTGATTTAAGCATACATATCTATAAAAATAACATTCAGCGTAACTGGAAATATATTTTCACTTCAGAATATTGACAATTTTTTTTGGAAAGTGCTTAGTTTATACGGAGTATACGTAAGTTATAATTATCAGATTGTTTTGATTTTTTTTCAAATCACAACGGACACTCAATTTTAAGTTTTAATTTCAAGCCCCTAACTATAATAGACTCACCCTTTTGGGCTAACTTGTTAAATGGATCGAAAATTGATCAAACTTGTATTGAAAGTTCACCTAGCATGTGACTACTTGTGTACTACTCCATAATAATTCATGGCTAAACTCAATTCTTAGGTTTCAAGTAATTTTGGTTTCAGGTCTTAGGGAATACCATTACTCTTTTTAGGTTAATTTTTCAAATGGATCAAAAAATGACAATATATGACTTGAATATTTATTTTTGCATTCAAAATCATGTGATAAAATTTCAGGGTTAAATGACTCGACTTTGAAAAACTAAATTAAGCTTTCGTTTTGTACTTTTTGAAGAACTATAATAATATTTGACCTAGTTTTTCAAATTGAGCAAAAAATAACAAAATATGGCTTGAATGTTCATTTTTACATGTGAAAATCCTTACTATATACAAAAGCGGTAGGAATATTTAGGCACGAATAGTTATGGATAATATAGAAGCTGTTACATCACAACCTTTTTTATAATGTATTGAATTAATAATATTATTTTCTTAATACTCTTGATGTCAACTGATGAAGTAAATGCAATCGCCCCGTTATGACTCTCCCAAACGGGAGGTCACGTGTTCGATCTCCAGTGCGTACAGTAAATCTACGAGCTTTAATATGTTAAAAATGTATAAACAGATATTACATTATAATAGAGTTATTAGTGTTAAAAAATATAATTATATGTAGCAACTACGAGTAGTGCCTTGAATTAATTATCCGAAGTATTTTATTATTGTTGTTGTTGTTGTTGTTGTTATTATTATTATTATTATTATTATTAATCATGGCCGGCCTAGGGGTGGGCCAAGCAGCCCTACTAGACCGGGCCTAATATTTCAGGAAGACCATTTTTTTTATAGATATTATATAAATAGAAATTGTGTAGCCCAATATTTTAGGGTGAGTGTCAAACATAATTACTTTGGTGTGCTTGGAGACGCTCCATCCACTTGAGCTATTAGACATATTGTTACGTAAGTCAGGCAATAGAATATATATATATATATAAACTATGTTGATTTCAAAAAAATTTCCAAATATTTAGAAAAAGAAATACTAGTAGTACCTAGTGCGCATGTTTTATGAACTTATAAAAATAGTTCAAAAAATAAATAAATAATAATTATGTTTTATCTAAAAATTAATATAAATACTTATACCTAAAAAATTACTTTAAAAAAATATCTAAATAATTATTGTCATCAATAAAAATTAAGAATTTTTTATTAATTATACTTTAATATATTAAAATCAATTTTTCTTCTTTTTCTTGTTTCAATACACTAAATATAAGTTTGAAGTGTTACACTGCCTCCCGGGGGGGCTGGGGTGGGAGGCAAGGGTGGGGCTGGGGTAGGGGGTTTAGGGGGAGGGTTAGGGGGGGTAGGAACCGTCGTTTTTACAAACGGACCACCGTAGGTACCCCAAACGAATTGGTGTAAGCAAATGACACCAGTAGCACTGGTGTCATTTTAGACTTACCGTTTAATTATATATATATATATATATATATATATATGTATGTATGTATGTACGTACGTACATACTATAAAAATTATTGGTGTAGTTATTATAAATATAAAATTTATTTTTTATTTCTATTTCTATCTTTGAAAAAAACTTAAATTTTTGTTTTGCGTGTTGTAACACGACAAATATTTTGAGATGAAGACGATATTTAAGATAAAAATAACAGCCTTAAAATAAGAGTATCTTAATGGAAATATTGTTACCAAAACAGGAAAAGATTATTCCAATGGTCCAATCACAAAATTACACGCCAACAAACCATGCATATATCCAATCATATAGAATTATATTAGGCGTATTTTATTAGGGTGTACGGAGTATTAAACTCTCTGTATCTAGCTGTGCGATATTCTTTTTTTGTCAAAAAGAGTAAAATCATAACTACCTTTCCATTTTCCTTTTGTTTTCAAACACGAAAAAGTAATTTTTTTTAAAAAAAGGACAAACCAAAAAATAAATAAATAAACAAATCAATTATTCCACATTTTTGTGTGGATGTCCTCACGAGAGCTCCCTGCATCTCACCTCTCCCCTCTCTCCTTTCTTCTTCTTCTTCTTCCTGCTCATCTCTCTCTCTCTCTCTGGTTTTCGAGGTTTCTGTATCTGTATGTGCATGTATGTGTATGTATGTTAGTCTGTATATATGACTGTAGAGTGGTTGAAGTTGATATAATTGTTATGTGCAGTCTGTGTATGGAATTGTAAGATTAGGAGTTTTTTCTTCTTCTTCTGGAGGTGTTTGCGAAGACGATGAGTGGCGCGATCTCTTCGTATATTTCTGGTATGGAATTGAAGAGTTATTGAGCGGAGGCTCCGGGATCGGAGAAGTTAAGCATGGTTGGAGCAGAGCACAACTGCGGTGGTGCTACCTATTTGCAGAAATTCCAACTCTATGAGACTCGCTCGGTATATGTTCCGCTTCTGATTTTGATATGTACTCGGTATCATGTATATGCAATTGCTTGAGTGTTTTGAACTTTGATATTCCTTCCTTACGAATCTTTAGCTGTTCTCTTATGCATAGTTTTGGAGGTTGAACTAGGAGATTCCGAGCAGCATGATCATGCTTGTTATTGACGGATGAGTGTTTGCTTTTATGTTAGTCGTCCTTCGTTGAATGGTCATGGATTTAAATGTTGTGAAAACTGGAATTTTAGGATTGACTTGTAATTGTGGCCCTTGGTCAACTGGTTAATTCTTGTGTTTTTGAATGTGTGGGATCTAAGTTCTGATCTAGGGTGTATTCCAATGAGATGCGTTTTTAGGATCTCGAGGTTTTGGTCTTTACTACTCCCTTGTCTGGTTATAGTAGGTTTAAAACTTCATTTAGTTAATGCCGCGACTATTTCAACGAATGTTTGTTGCTGATTTATGGTTGGAGTATTGCTTTCAATTCCAGTACACAGAGAATAACTCCGAGTCCTTGTTTTTTAATAGAACTTTTATATGATTGGGAGGGATAAGGCCAGAACATGCTGGCGACTCTTAAAGATTGACAGATTAGAGCCATCCGAGCTAAATATTCATGAAGATTCCACAACATATTCCGAAGTTGAATGCTATGAGATCATGAAAAGAATACACGAAGGAAACAAGGCAACTGGCGGACTTAAATTTCTTACCACTTGCTACGGAATTATTGGTACGACTAGTGTCATGCCACATGAAAATCTGTAGCCTTTTTTCTGCAAATGAATCAAACCATTTGGAAAGCAACTAATATTTATTCTTGTTTAGGTTTTGTAAAATTTTTGGGACCTTATTACATGCTGCTTATCACAAAAAGAAGGAAGATTGGCTCTATATGTGGTCATGCCGTGTATTCCATTACAAAAAGCGAGATGATCCCGATTCCCACTTCTACTGTGCTATCTAATATGGCTTTTTCTAGAAATGAGAACAGGTCTAATGCCAATTCTACGTGTAAAAGTGAACTGCTAGTGGTACTTGTGAGGAGGCACTCTAGTTATGTTAGCAAATAGCAATGTCTTTTTTGTTGTATTTCAATAGTGATGTGTTTCAATCAGTGCCCTCAGTGGCTCATATATTTTCCATCTTTAAAGAAGTCCCAGATGTTGTGGTAAATTGGTAATCTTTATACTCGTGGATACAACCTTTTGTATAGCAATGTTGTAGCTCTTACTGAGGAGCATTGATGTGATGGTCAAGTTTAGAGTACACCAAGTCTTTCAGTTATGCAAGTCTTCTGTTGTAAAATTCTTTTATAGAACCTTTGGAAGTTTCTTTCTGGCAAGTGTACAGGGGCCAACCACATTGGTTTCCCAATGTTAATTTTTCATGTTGTATGAGACAAGGTATCACCAAGGTTCCAGGGGGGATTTGTTTGCTTCTCTCTACTTGATTTATATTAGATACTATTTTAATTGATGTCCTCTTTGATTCTTATTTTACATGATTATTTACTTGGATTTCAATGTGATAGGTACAAGAAACTTTTACGCACAGTGGATCTCACAAAGGACTTCTTTTTCAGCTATTCATATCTTATTATGCTTAGCCTTCAGAAAAATTTGAGCAATCATGAGTCAGGACTTATCCTCTATGAAACAATGTTCGTATGGAATGAGTTCCTGACTCGTGGGATCCGCAATCAACTCAAAAATACTATGTGGACTGTGGCATTAGTTTATGGATTCTTTAAAGAGGTATTTGATGATTTGGGAATTTCGGTCAATATTTTTATATCTTCATCTTCTTCAAAGTCGATAATTTTTATTAGGGTCCCATGGTCCCATGTTATGTTTTTGTGTCATACTCTGTTATTAGTATTTTTCTCGCTGTATTGTGATCTATTTGGAGCATACTGTTTGCTTAAATCATTATGCCTTATGTTTGCCTTAATCCCCACTAACATAATCATAGTCCCAGGTCAATCTTCCAATTTGTGAGAAGGATTTCAAGTTGATCCTTATTGCAAGACGATCCCGTCACTATGCTGGAACTAGGTGTGTATCTAATAGTCGCAAATTGGTTCCCCGTACCCCCTAAAAACACTTTTCAGTACATTAAGAATATCTTAGTCCATGGTAGTCTTCAATGGATGTAACAAATGTTACACTTTAATTCTTCTTTTTCATTACTCTTTTGTCCTAGATATTTGAAGAGAGGTGTAAATGAGAAGGGTCGGGTGGCCAACGACGTGGAGACTGAACAAATTGTGGTTGAAAATGTTCCTGAAGGGTGTCCATTACAAATAAGCTCTGTTGTGCAGAACCGTGGTTCTATACCTCTTTTCTGGTCACAAGAAACTTCTAGACTAAATATTAAGCCTGATATTATATGTAAGTTTTAAAAATACTTGAACAACATCATTATTGTGTCTACTCACCACAGTCCAACAACCCTATATGTTTAAAGTGTCAAGGAAGGACCCTCGGTATGAGGCCACTCAGCTTCACTTTGAGAACCTTGTCAAGAGATATGGAAATCCAATTATCATATTGAATCTTATTAAGGTAAATTTTAGCATTGACCTTAAGATTAGTTTTTCATTATACCCTTCTTAAACTCTTCTGACCTCTGTGCTTTATGCCACATTGCAACAACACAGACCCGCGAGAAGAAGCCCAGGGAATCAATTTTGCGTGCAGAATTTGCTAATGCTATTGATTGCATCAATAAAAAGCTCTCTGAGGAAAACCACTTGAAGTTTCTTCACTGGGACCTAAATAAATTCACAAAAAAGTGGGCTCTGTTCTCCTTTTCTAGTTTGCAGTTTATTTCTACTCTGAAGTATCATTTGTGAGAACTGTTTCTTTTCTTTTTTCAACAGTAAAGCTACAAATGTGTTGATGGCTTTAGGAAAAGTGGCTGCTAATGCATTGGAATTAACTGGGTTCTTCTATTGTCATGTTAGTCCATCTTCAAGGGCAGCAGAATTGCTAAATTTCCCGTGTGCTAGGTAAGTTTAACATATTAGATGTCTTTATTTTATACTCCACAATTCATTAACTCTCCTCTTATCATAAGGGTAATCATGCATTTACGCTATTTATAAACTGCGTTGCTGACTTGCTGTAGATTTTTCAGTTTATTTTTAATTTGTTGTGGGAATACACTGGGCAGGTTAATGTTGTGATTTATTATTACCCCTGCCCCAGACTCCAAAATACTCATCCAGTTAGAGTGTTTGACTTTTTGCACTCAAACTGGACAAATTTTGATCATCAATTAATTAAATATAGTATTCTTTATTAATACAAAAACAATGTTTATTATATTTATCATGCAAATGACTTTAATTGAATTATTTATTCTATTGTTATGGAATGCAATATTTATTTAATTGATAATTAAAGTTAAGCCAATTTGGCAAACTGACTAAAAAAAGTCAAATTGGAGATTTCAAAGAAGATAGATTTCCACAACTTTCGATTGACAGTTGAAAAGACTGACAATTGACTGGCTATGGATTGTTACATAACTCTTTTATCTTGTGAATTCTAATTTCATCTTGAAGCTATATTGAGTTATAAATTGGAAGATTTTGCTAAAAGTCAACGTAGATTACAAAGCATGGTAACCCTATTCCCCCTCCATTTCTTTAAATAAAGTTTGCTTGTCTTTATAATGAACCAATGCGACGTAATAACAAAGACATTCAAGATGGCACCGAGAAGATCTTCATAATGTTGTCACGAACACTAATAGCTTGAAAAGTGGTAATTGCAGGAATTACGATTTGGATGGAATTCAATCTACCAAGTGCCCAACCTTCCAAAGAGGGGTCCTAAGAACAAACTGCATTGATTGTCTAGATCGTACTAATGTTGCTCAATTTGTATATGGGCTCGTTGCTATGGGCCATCAGCTGCATGCTTTGGGCCTTATAGGTGTGGAGAACATAGATTTGGATTCTCCTTTGGCTGATTCTTTAATGAAGATATATGAAGCAATGGGTGACACTCTTGCGCTACAATATGGAGGGTCAGCTGCACACAACAAGGTGAGTGACCTTATTTGCATTTAAGAATTCTGCACTTCAAAGATGTAATGACAATTGCCACATTTTCAACAAGTCATTTCTCCAATTTTTCAGATTTCATCTTGGAATTGGTTATTCTTTAAGTTTCTGACTTTCTGTTAAATGTTTTGTTCATACCAAAATGGAAATGGTGTCCTCCAAATTGGTTCTGTTAATTTTACCATGTGTTGAACTTTTGCTTTCTTTATATTTGGATACCAAAGTGGTTGTCTTCTTTCAATCCTATTATTTTGAATATTTGAACAGATATTTTCTGAAAGAAGAGGTCAATGGAAAGCAGCGACACAGTCACAAGAGTTTTTTAGAACGCTTCAGCGGTACTACAGCAATGCTTATATGGATGCTGAGAAACAAGATGCCATTAACGTGTATGTGCTTTTACTAGTAGTATTATGTGTAAATCAAATCCACAGCCATCATAATGTCCTGTTTGCAATTATTAATCTGCCACAGGTTCTTGGGGCATTTCCAGCCACAGGAGGGTAAACCAGCATTATGGGAATTAGACTCTGATCAGCATTATAATGTTGGAAAGCACGGTGTATCTATTCACAACATTAGGTATCTCTTTTTGATAATTATCACTCCCAATACTCCCTGTCCCCAGTTATCTCCCACTTTGACTGGGTACATATCAAGGAGATGGTTGAAAAGTGTAAAATGTGGTCAGAATTTGGTTAGAAGAAAGAGAATTGTTTTGAAGTGGGAGGTTATTTTGGGACAGAATGGGACGGATGTTAAAGGATAGTGTGAAGTTTACATAGGGACGGAGGGAGTAATTAATATAGGAAAGTTCTACAATGTTGGATTGGTAAAGTGCCACATGGTTTAAAAATATGTTTCCTTTATGCTTTTTAGATGTACAAAAAGTACAACAACAACAACAACAACAACCTAGTAAATCCCACAAATGGCATCTGGGGGTGGATGCATGCAGACCTTACTCTTACCCAAAAGGGTAGAGAAGCTGTTTCTAGAAGATTCCCTTATATCTATTATGGCCGGCTGGCCGCACACACAAACACTCATCCACTTTGATCAAATGAAGTTAATATTTAGTGTAATTCGTCAGTGTCATATAGAAGTATCATATTATAGTTGGTTAAACAGCTAATATATTTTAAAAATATTAGTTGAATTCATGATTTGTGACTGACACCCTTGTAAACCTTAGAAGTTAAAAGTTAACCAAAGTCTTTTTTTTCTTGAGCGAAAATGGAGGTAGTAAGTCTGAACTCTGTAGGCACTAATATGTATCATGTTCTGTGTGTAGGTCAAGAATCAAACGGTCGTTCTCAGATGGAAATATTATCTGTCCAAGTGACTTACCTACGGAAGATGCTGATGTTGAACAGAGAGAAGACGGTAAGCCTTCAATTCCCAGTACAAAGGAGGTCAATAATAATGGAGTGCCAGAGTCTACACCAGATATCTCAACTAGTGAAAGCACTATGTCATTTTCCAGGTCACACGTCTTTATTTGTAGATGCTAGATGAATTACTAACAATTGGAATCATATACTTTAGTCCGTGAAGTAAAAAAATGCATTATGCTTAATATAATTGGTCGTATCCTGCACATTAAAGTGGTTCACATTGCTTTTGTTGTACTGAACTTCTATTGTTATTAGTTAGTGCACAACTATACCTTGCTTTTGAATATGTGTTAAAATATTCTACATCATCCCCCCTCCTCACCCTCAAAAAAGTCCCGTTTCTTGAACCTTTTATGTCTCCCAAAGAGAGTTCGGTTTAAAAGTCAGCTTCCATTTTGAATTACAGTTTGTATAAAACCAAACAGCAGCGGGAGAGGGTCTTAGTAAATAACTCCAAACAATTTTTTAAATAAGTGACCATGTATAAGGTAGTAACTCGTAAAAGCTTGTACCTTGATTGAGTTGACTAAAAATAAAAAAGATTTCCCTCATTTAAACATGAGCCTTTTTAAGACGAAGCAATTTGGCATTTCACAGCCAATTTAGTGGCAAGTTCCTATTAATCTCTTCTCTGAAACGCTGAAGCAGCTACCTCCTTGGTTCCGTGAACTCTTGTCACCCTTTATTTCTGAAATTATATTTACAATAGAAGTGACAGTAGAATTAGGATTCTATTTTTTAATGACACGGTAACCTGAGCATGGGGAGTTAAACCAGACTACGATGAACCATAGCTTGCTGGCTCAATAAAGAAGGCCAGGAGGCGTACCTTGCGGGATACAAATTCAGAACATAATGGATACTATGTTCACTGCCCGTAAAAACTTGGCTACCCTTGTGGGTACAGTGTTACATCAATCTTAAACCAACACAGCAACACCATGTGTCTTAAGATTCTAAAAAAAATTCTACAAATTCCAACACTATCAAAAGAGAGAATTGTCCTTTTAGAGTTCGACTTTACGTGGAAACAATGGCTAGGATAATATATGAATTAAATGAATGCCAAATCCCGTGTCAAGTTCTCCATTGGATTATTGCCATTTGAGAGTTAAAATGAGCTATATGAATGTCTTCATTTACCTTTGAGCAATACATTAAAATAGTTCACTTTGCTTCATACACAGGTATACCCCCACTATGTCCGGCAAGGTGCTTTTCATGGAAACCCAAGATGAACAGTCACTTGAACGCACAGATTCCAACTTTTCAAATTTTTTAGATGTTGAGTGGCTTTCTTCGTCTGGGAATTCATGTGAAGAAGAGACATATGAGAGGTAAAACATTCTCCTGCAGCAGTTTTTGATAAGCTTCTGCAGTTGGAGGATTATCACACTTGTATTTTATTCCTGCAGATCGTTAGTCATAGGTTCCCCATCGAGTGCCCAATCATCAGATGGCGTGGCATGTGTTTCCAAAGCAGAAACATGCTTTACAGCTTATGATTCTGGGTTCAATCTTAAGGTAATGAATGTATTGATAGATCCTTTATTTTTTGTTTGAGTTAGTTTTTTCGCCTCTGCAAACATAATTTTGATTTTTTTTGCTTGAGATCTTATAATATATTCCTCTTGGTTTTTTTCATCCCTATGTTTAAGACTGAGGTTTTTTTTACCTCAAGAGCCAGTGTCATAATATGACACCGATCCATTTGAAGGACTTGCGATGTTCTGTTCGAAGAACGCGAAGTGGTTTCTACCCCCTAACCACAACCCCCAACCCCTAGCCTCCCAAATGTGTGACGGGAGGTTTGTGGGGGTTAGGAGATAAGAACCACTTTGGGGTTCGAACAGAGCACTATAGTCTATAGGGTTCCCTAAGTGGTCTAGGTGCTATTTTAATCTCTCTCTCTCAAACTCTATAAAAGCGAGAGGGTCTAAACCCTTGTTTTCATCTCCTTATTTTTTTTTTACAATATGAGTTGCTCTCTTTCCCATATGGGGTTGATCTTCTTCTTCTAATCAAATTGATCCAACAGACGAACGGAGATTTCATCAACTACGACGCGGCTCAAGAAAACCTAAGACTGGGTGAATTTTCTGATAAATTTGTGCACTGGGTCACGTTTGGAGACATGCTTTTCCATTGAAGTTGGAAATTGGGAGGGTTTCCCACACAGGTTTGCATTGCCCATATAATGTTGTAATCCCATAACATATACATGTCGACCCATCCGAAGGATGCGGTTTGGTCACACAATAAAACTTACCGGCTATCAGGATTAGGAGGAAAAATGAAGAGAAACAAAAAAAGAAAAGGTGAGAAATAATATTATGAGATTTTGGGTTTAGTCAGATAGGACAAAGGAAATACACCATTGTAAATATCCTTTCATATTCTTTCTGGGGCTCTGCTCCAGTGTTGGTTTATAATTGTTTAAACGTTACAAAAACTTGTATATATCCAAAGATTTTTTTCTATATTAATCACCCCTTATTCACATCCAAGAATGTTTATTTCTCCGGGGTGCAAGTAAATTTAGTCAACCTATGTTTACATGTGTATATATAGGTTGACTATGTAATCTGTTGTAAAAGAGCATATGTTGTTTCTTGCATTCACTATTTGTTCTGAATTTGAGATCATTTGTTTCTTCGTAAAATATACTCCCTCCGTCCCATTTTGTAACGCCTGTTTCGGTTTACGATGTTTGACTTAAGTTATTTTGAAATCATTTTATATAACAAATGGTATAGAATTAAAAAATAAAAATTACATATCAAAATACTACATCAAAAGATCTACAAAACTAGTAGTGACAACAATATTTTATTTTATCAATTTGCTAACGAAAATAGAGAAAGAAAGTGAATGAAGTTTGACCCTGTGAATAACAAGCATTATAATTTAGAATGGAGGAAGTAATACTATATCCTAAAAAGCTTCCCGGCTCGGATTTTTATGGAGAATTTAAAAAATGTTAGAAAAATAAAAAAGTACTACGTATGTACATACGCATTTGTTTGTACGAGAAATTCATTAGCCACATGTTCATTATAAAATAAACTTCACCGTTCTGATTTTTATACAATTTTAAAAAATGTTAAAAAAATAAAAAATGAATAAGAGTTCGTTTAAATGACTATTCTTATAGAGCGGAAAACGTTTTTTGAAATGTACGAGAGGAAAGTTAACGAAAAGTTATTGGACAAAGGGAGTTGTGATATTACTGCGGGGAGAACATAACAGCAAGTCAGAAGCGCACAAAAAAACTGAGCAAAAGAAATTGTTTGAAGATACAAACTGTAGAGATAACCGAGGAATTTAAAGTGGGATCTCTTTAGATAGGAGTGAAAAATTATGAAAATATCAAAATATGAAAAATTAAGACCAAAACAGGAGTTTACGCTACTATTGTTACATTTTCACACTCACCACATTGTCACATTTTAATTGTCACGTTATCAACGCCACATTGTCATCCGTTGCCGCCGGCCATCAAAGTACCACTACAAATCCCCGGCGGTTGACTGATTACATTGATATATCACACTGTCATCATTTTTCCACCATACTGCCAATGCGTATTCTTATACTACACTGCCATTAAATTCCTATTTTGATTGTAAAAGACTTAGAACTCTTATTTTGGTATTTTCAAACTTTTTTACTTTATCCAGGGACATTTCTTTGATTTAAAAAAATTGAGAATAAAAGTAAATATAATCACATATACTCCAAATTGTGGAGGCATAATTTAAATTTTTGCGGTGGACCTCCAAATATTCTGAACTGACCCAATAACTAACGCGATTTCGACCGTGAGAGCTGAGGGGTAAAGAGGGCTTGTCGCAATTATGTTTTACTCCCTCCGTCCCTAAATAAATTTCTTTTTTTGATTTTTTGGAAAATTTAGAGAAGATATTTTGGTGTTTCCAAAAATACTCTTGATGTGATGTGTAAGATATGATATGTAGATTATTAGTAAAAAAGTATGATGTGATAGGTAGGGTATGAAAAAGTAAGGGGTAAAAAGGATTTTTTAAGAGAAAAGAGAAGTTTATTTGGGGACAAAAAAAAGGGAAAGTTTATTTAGGGACGAAGTGAGTATTTAGCAGTTGAAGAGAGGGAAAATAAAAGTACTCCCTTTGTCCAAAATTAAATTTCCTGGTTTGACCGGACACACATATTAATGCAAAGAAACACTATGTTTAACACTAAAATTCATTTTTTTTATCACGCATACTTCAATTCTTCCATAAGTTTCCAAAAATGTGCCAAAGAAGAATTTAACAAGGTACCACTCCTTTCGAACGTATTATGTGTATATCTGTATATCATTAACATGCCATTTTTTGATATTCATTTGATAAAATATTATAAATATATCGCCTCTTGATATGGTTTCGAAATATATTAATTTATTTTTTTAATTCAATACCAATTTCCAAACAAATTAAGTTGAAAATACTTGGACCTCATTTGGTGAGTTTTAGAAGTGTAACATAATATGAATTCTGAAATCTATAAGAAATATTATTGCTTTTGAAATCTGAAATAAAATTATTTACAAAGATTTGAAATCATGATTTAATTAGTGGTAGATGGAGATGACCAGTTGACAATGATGATGGTAGCCGATGGTAGGAGGTTGTCGACAGGCGGGAGAGATGTCAAACCCTCATATCAATATCTCTGAAATTTGAGAGAAACTAGAACTATTCATTAGGAGGATTTGTGAAATCTAGAGATATCATATCCAAATTGTTTTTAAACTTCACCAAACACCAAAAAAAATGATATGGGAAATATCAAAGCCCATGTCTCTTGCACTAACCAAATACACTCTAAGTCAAACATTGTGAGGAAAATTCTAATTTGGGACGGAGGGAGTATAATATGAATGTCATTACGGTGCATCAAATATTGGTAGCCGGCCAAACAAAAACAACACAATTAGATCTCACGAGGGTAGGGTCAATATTGGAAACAGGCCATCGGCAAGAAATTTTGCATAGAAAGTCAAAATATTTAACTCATCATTCCATCAACACTTCTATTACACAGTCAAAAAAATATGGACGAAGTTAAGAGGGAAGCTTACACTATGCGTATTAGAACATATTAGTTTCACACGAAGATACGGCGAGCGTGGGGGCAGGGTGGCACAGCCGGCTGGCTACTTGGCGGGGAGGAGCGGTTGAAAAAAATTAGACGGTGCAGCCTATACAGTTTGGAGTTATCAAGTCGGAGGAATAAAAAAGAAACTTATCTTGTTGATTTGCGAGGGCTGTTAAATAAGATTATTACACAGCACCAAAAGCTTGAAAATTTCAGGCATGGACCCTGCATGGAGGTGACTTAAGATTAGCAATAGGGCATTGACAATAAGCAGTAAAAACCACCAATGTACGAGAGTGAACGGAGAATTCAAAAAGGCGAATTGAAAACAATATGCATATGCTTTCTACAAAATGCTCCTCCCTAAAGAAAATATTACGGAGTAATTTGTAGTTCAACGGGATGTGGGACCATTTATCATACCCTATTACTCTCCCTGTCCAATAATTTCTTTCATGTTTGACCCGACACGCATATTAGTGAGAGATGAAAAGGGCATTGACTTTTCACATTTGTCCTTCGGTTTTTTGAAAAAAGGGAATAGTGTGGATGAATAATGAAGACATGATAAAGTGAGAGTTATGACGTGAATAGTGTAGATAAATAGTAGAGATTAAATAGGTACTCATTACAAAAGTCAAAGGTAAGTTTGACATATAAGACAAATTTCTTCGCCATTAAACAAAATGTGACGAGAATATATGGCCAGACCAGGAAGTAAAGTGGGAAGAAAGTTATGGACGGGGGGAGTACTATGCCCTACAACTTAGTAAAACAACTACTATAACACCCATGTTACAACTCAATTGATACCACCAGAACATGTTAATTACCTGGTCCTACATTTTGTTCTGTTCTGCTTTCAAAACAATTCCTTCAAGAATAGCATCCGTACCAAATGTACCAGAAAACTGTTGAGGATTCACAGGACCAGGCAGCTTGAACGAGAGAGAGAAATATCCAGACGGGCAAAGGTTCTGAGATTGCATCTCAAATACTTGGGTGTACTTGTGAACAGTTTTTTCACCGCTGGTAGTCACTCCCTTAATTATTACCTTACCATCATTCTCAACTTCACAGCTAAATTCTCCTGCAGTTTCAGTTAATTGGTAGCAAAACCAATGAGAAAAGTTTCAATCATGAAAAATAGAAATGAGATGTGAGCATAGTTTTTAGAACCGGACCGGACCAGACTGTCGAGTCCGTTTATACAAAAACCCAACAAAATGGGAATAACAACTGGTGAATGAATCAATGAATTAAACCTACCATGCATGTGATATCAAGTGATTGACTCAGTTTGGATTGGATTATCACTTACTTTCATCTCTTTTTACTCCAGGAAGCGATATACGAAATAAGTAAGCATCCTCACACTCTCCAATATCAAGGGGTCCAAGAACTGATCCTATTTGCCCGCTTGCTGCACTTCCAGTTATTGCATATCCCCCTTTGGCGGCAGCAACAATGTCACTCCAATCTTCCTCAGAAGGATGTTTTGGTAGGACGAGCATAGCATGGCCAATGTCACCAGAATTGGTCTTTAACGGTAATGGAGCAGTATCAGTACATGTAAAAGGTGTACCTCTAAGTGATCCATTATGAGCGGATTGCATGCTACTATCGTTAGGTGTACCTCTAAGTGATCCATTATAAGCAGGTGTCCCATAGTGTCTATCAGTACTGACACGACCCGTGGCGAAGGCATGAAGTGGGAGATTTCCGAGCTCAAAAAGACCCAATATACAATCTCTATCCAAGAGGAAACTCTGTAAACCTGTAAGCCTTTTGTACCTTTCCAAGCACTTGGGAGTGATGTAGCTCACGTCAGGATCATTGACAAATACAATATTTTCAATAACATTATACCCATTATTAGCACGTACAAGGTGATGCAATCCAGGAGGGAAAAGATCGCTGAATTTGGGGTAAGATGCAGCATAGCCATGTACAGGCGTATGAAGAATTCCATGAAAGAACTGGTAAAATAAAGGTAGGGGCAGAATGACAGACTGATTTGCTCCTCTGAGGATGTAGTAATAAAGTCTCTCTATTTCAGCAGTCCTAATGCATGTGCCAGCTAGTTGATTAGATGTATATGGTGCACAGGCTTCAGACATCCTTCTCAAAGCAGATTTCTTAGGCCCTTCTTCCTTAAGATCAGGTCCAAAGTAAGTACCCATAATCAAGTAGAGAAGAAAGAACTGATCCTCTGTTTGTGCAAATGAGCCAGATGCATTGTCCATATCTGATCAAACAGTAAGAGGAAACCAAGTTCATTTCATCACAAGGAAGACAGACGTGAAGTAAAAATTGGTGTTGTTAATATGAACAATGAAATCCCTGTGTGTTGGAAAATTAGTTACAACTCAAAGCTGAAAATTTTTGCATGTACAATGTCACCAGATAGGAAGGATTCAACCATTCCACCTACATTTCTGGAAATAGGACGTTATGGTATCTACTTGAATATTTAAATAAGAGGCTTTTGAGGATTGGATATTATTTATTTGTTTATCTCTTAAACATTTGAGGTGATGAGGGAAAGCACATGACATTTGGGATTTAGAGCTTAGTTTCAAAAGCCGTAAGTCGAACTAAGAAAACTTTTGTTTTCAAAAGTGCAAGCCGAAAAGCGGAGGTGCACGCCCCACAGAACTGAGCCAATGCTATCTGCTAAAACACAGTTATATTGCTTGTACCGGATATCATGTACTCAAACACAATATTACGTGGTTTGAATACTAAATATAGGAATAAACTTCATCTTACACAGCTAATTGAATACAAGAATCTCACCATGAAACGCTCCCAACATAAACAATATCAAACTGCGAAGTTCATAAGATAATACATATTAGAAAGCAAAAGAAGTGTTAGACACAGCAATTTAATACGAGTAATTCACAACAATTAGTTCACTTTACAGTACATAAGACATAGCTAGTCTTTGAATCTCTCTGCTTATTAGTCGACACCATTATCGTGGTATGCCACACTAAAATACTTACATCAAAGCTAAATATTTCAATGCCTCCTTCACATCACTTTTAATTCAAAAGAGTTTTAGATTCAGCAATGACTTGTTCAAAAAGTGGATTTGAAGATGGAGTATCATTTGAACTCAATTGGTACCACTCCCCCTATATTCAAGTTCTTTAAATCTTGGTGGTTATTTATAATATCTTTGCATCCAAAATTCTCTAATAAATCATTTATAAAACTAATAAAAAAGTGAACGAAAGATTAATAATTTAATCACTAAAACAGTACATAAACAGTGTATTTATGTAAAATTAATCTCAGGATTAAAAATGAAAGAATATACTCCTTTGATGCATTGACCTAACCATTCACATTTTACATAAAAATAGAGTAAATATTCTAAAAAATAATCAGATAGGTAATAATTATAAACAGTTAACCTAAAGCAATCGAATAAATACATGCACCAATCTAAAATGTAATGAAACCATATGATGAAGGAGGCATAAAGTGACGAACAGTAATCCAAAATCATAGCATAAAATATGAAATTCTGTCTGCGAGTTTGAGAATAAATAGTAAGTCAAATTACCTTGAGAATCGAAGAAGAAAGATGACAAGTTGCTGAAATGGAGGGACGCCGGGAGACGGCCGGAATTGTTCTTTCCCGTTTCCTTGTCTCGGCGCACACAGAGTGTGAAGAATGGGGGCGGCCACCTGGTTGTGTACGGTAGAGAGTGGAAAACTAAAATTAAAAAAAAAAAACTTCTTATATTTTTTTTAAGAAAGTCGTAGGTGTTAATCGATAAACACTCCTTTAAGTTTAACAATAATTCTCCAATTTTAACTTTTTAGAATTAAAATTGATAAATTTTTACTATTAATTAAACGAAATGTAAATAGATAATAGATATTGATACAATATTCATCTAATAGATTTATCTGGTTAAATATTTTTGAAATAGTAATTTATTTAAATAATATAAAATATAATTTTTATTATATTTTAAGTCAAAAATTAATTTTGATTGACTGTAAAAAGTAAAAAATTAGATAATTATTTTGGTATGAAATACTCCATGTTACTTTTTCAATTTATTTTACACAATCAAACTTTTACTCCGTACAAGGTTTTTAATGCTCCTGATTTTGTACTGGACTTGTTCACTTCAAAATAAAATAATTATATCATTACTTGTTTTCTAAAACTTTAAAGTTTAAATTTTATATACAAAGAAATTAAAAATATTTCAATTAAATATTATAAACCAAAACGCACAATTTAAAGAAGTGAGAAAATCAATATTAATTGTCCTGCTCCGGTTTTTTTAAAATATGAAAACTTTATCTTAAAATAATGAGAACATATTTTGAAGAATAAATCACCCTAAATAAAATCAAAACATAAAAAAATCTTAAAATAAAAATTCCATATTTTTATTTTCTAAATAATAATTTGCATTGTGGTAATATAATATTGTACATGTGTATTTTACATAATATACACGATCATAATTCATAATTTAAATGTATCCTAACTTCTATTTCAAAAAATAAATATATGAAACTCTCATGTTTGATATATTTTCAATTCTGAATAGAAAGAGTACTACTATAAATTGGGTTCTCTCCCCCGCGCAGGGTAAAACTGCACTGCCAAACACAAACAAAAATGGTATAAGAGGCTGACAAAATGTAGTAGATAGTCCCTAGATACCGACCGATCCGGTCATTCCAACCAGGATCGGGTGGTGCGGAAGTGAAGTTCGCACAATATAAAAGTCGACCACTACCATATTCAATCTATTCCATAATCATACACAAAGGTTGACAGAATTATTGAGAGCCTGAAAGAACAACAGAAATAGTTCATTAAAATAAAAATATTACGGAGTACATATTATTCTTCGTTGGCAATATTAATATTCCACCGCACGCCCATTTTCACCAAAAACTTTGATAGAATAATCAAAGTCAGTTACATAATGAAAATTAAGAATATGAATCTCTTCAGATTATAGGCCTCAACTATTCTAGCCAGCCCTCCCCAAAAAAGAGGTTTCCTTGCTCACATACTTCAATTTTCACTTCAAAAGGGTTTGCAGAAAGAGGGCCAAAAATCCTGATGACATCGCCATCAGCGTACCTTAATCCCACAATACGTTAATATGATTGCCTATGGTCCAAGGTACGATGATGGCGATGTCATCAGGATTTTTGACCCTCTTTCCGCAAACCCTTTTGAAGTGAAAATTGAAGTATGTGAGCAAGGAAACCTCTTTTTTGGGGAGGGCTGGCTAGAATAGTTGAGGCCTATAATCTGGAGGAGATTCATATTCTTAATTTTCATTATGTAACTGACTTTGATTATTCTATCAAAGTTTTTGGTGAAAATGGGCGTGCGGTGGAATATTAATATTGCAAACGAAGAATAATATATACTCCGTAATATTTTTATTTTAATGAACTATTTCCGTTGTTCTTTCAGACTCTCAATAATTCTGTCAACCTTTGTGTATGATTATGGAATAGATTGAATATGATAGTGGTCGACTTTTACAGAATGTGGCATACCACCGCACCCACCAATCCGACAGACCTGCGACAAGCTCTTGAAGGAACAGTAGATTTTAATCCCATCAGGCGGCAGCGACTTCGCCAACAACGCCCTGAGGCACGGCACTCGGGGCGTCAACAGTTTCCCAAGTAGATGCTGGAGAGATCGCACAAAGATTAACACAAGACATATATTGATATCAAATGAATGTGGACATAACGTACGCCCACATTCATTCAACTTTTAATGTACTCCCTCCGTCCCAATTTTGATTACAATTATATTTTCTTTGTGTGATTATTTGATAAAATAAAAGATTCTTGTCACCTCTTAGTTTTCGAGTAAAACTTTTGCCGTAGTTTTTAAATATGTAATTTTTATTTTTTATTGATGCACCAATTTGTAAATAAAATAATTTCAGAAACCATAGAATTTCATCTCGTTATTCCCATTTTGTAATCAAAATAGGGAGGAAAAGAGTATATAGAAAGTCATACTCCGTATTTAACAATTGTTTTAAAACCAAGGGAGCAACTGGCAGTCCTTGTCAACTTACCATTGCCCGCAGGCCAACTATCCCCGGCCGGAGCAGCACTGGCTAGGTCAGGATTCCATTGGGAATCTGCAATCTGGTTCGTTGTCCACTCACCACCATGCGCAGCACTCGAGTAGTCATAATCTTGGGCGGCGGGAGCTTCAGGATCCTCTTTTTCCTTGTCTTTTTCCTCCCTAAAGAAGAAAAGATCCACCTGCCAGAGTACCAAGTTGGAATGTTTAAACACATGCCCCCACCTTGCTCTCATTTAAATGTAGTCTTTGATTGTTCCCACAAAGAAATTAAGAAATATTGAGTAGAGTCATCAAAGTAGAACAAAATTACTCAAAACACTAATGTTAATGTTACAGGGTACAATATCTATCCGAAAGGTGAGTGGTTTGAAGGGAAAAAAGCCACTCTTGTGGACAAGGGACTTTTTGGCCACTAGAAGTTATCTTTCCAAAATAAGTGAAAAGCTTAGTTCCATTTCTGCTGTAATGTTGGAAACATGTTTCTTAAAAACAAAGGTGATCAAAACTTTTGGAACGGAAAAATGCAACTGTGAAAATTTATATCAATGATATGGAGAGAAGATTTTTGAGAATACATTTTTTTCCATTAAGGAACAGTTAAAAGAGAACAGGACAGGAGTATTTCATTGAAACAAAGCATGTAAAAAGCTACTCCGTATTAAAGATCAATAAAACACAAAGGTTGATATTACCATCACATCCCAATTGTGACCAGGAGCAATACTGCCACGCATCTGCAGAACCATCCTTGCCAAGAGCCAGAACAGAACACCAATGCTGTGCTTCCCTTTGTTGTTTGCTGGGATGCCAATATCAACATAGCGCATTGGGGAATCAGTGTCACAGAAAGCAATTGTGGGGATATTCCCAAGAGCAGCTTCCTTGATTGGCTGTCCATTTTGCAAAAAAAAAACACAAGCATAAATGAGTTTAGGTGCATCAAAGAAGAATTTTCCCGAACAAGGACTATTTTAGATATAAAAGTGACTGGAGAGTAAACCTGATGATCAGTTCTGGGATCAGTGAGGATAAGAAGGCGAGGCTCACTGTAAGAAGTTTGCATCTGGTTGGTAAATGTTCCCGGAGTGTGACGCCCAGCAATAGCTTGAGCTCCAGTATACTGAGCAAACTTCAAAACAGCTCTCTGGCCATAAGATCTGGCCGATTGGACAATTATGTCCTTTGGATTCTGGATGGCAACAATGACCCTAGCCGCAAGATAGAGCTTTTCCCATGTCTTCATGATGTTAATTATGTGAATTCCTGATATCAAGCAAGAATCACATACATGTTACTAAATTATATCCTAGTTATTGTACAAATTTATATTTTTAGCCATACTAAATTGGTAGAATATGAATATTTCTTGGAGTGACAAGCTAGTAGGTAGTTCAAATAAATTATTTACAAAAAACTCCAAATGAATTAATGAATCGTTAGGAATTAAAATAAATTGGACATAAAGACTCTATACAGAGCTCAAGAATGGTTGATCAGTAAGTTCAATTACACTCTGAAATGAATCAATAGATTAAAACTGTATGAAATACAATGCATTCAATCAAATTCCAAACTATTCTGGAATCTATGAAAATGCCGTATGTAACGAAGAAGGATGAAAATAACAATCAGAATTAACTTCACAGAATGCAACAGAGAAGGAATCAGACCGTCTTTCCGGCGTTTGAAGACGTAACGCTCCATCTGAAAGTCACAGTTTTTGGTGCCGAGATGGACATCGGCGGCCAACATCATCCGAATGTCGGCCTCCTTCGTTGACAATACTCCCTGCGTCTCCGCCGTCGTCGTCGCCATCCTTGCTCCGCCTTCACAGCGCCGAGGGTTTAACCAGAAGAAGGAAAAGCCAGAAAAACACGGCCGTTAAATTTTAGCGCCGTATCGCCGTTCTTATATGAAGCCCTAATAATCGCTCTTATCTTCTGATTCTCCTCCGTGTTTCCTGGGCCTACGTTCTGACCCAAATCGTGGTAACTTTATCGATTTTTTAGGGCCCATTTAATGCCCGCTTTAGCTCCCGCCCAAATAATAGCAACTTGCCCAAAATTAATCGGCCCAGTCTTTATCTCCCACGGAGTACGTGTTTTTAGAATAGAGAATTTTTAATAAAAATTATTTAGAGAAATTTGATATATCAAAATTACATTTTAAAATAAACTCAATTATACGGAGTACTACGTATTAAATTTACATTTTAAGTAAATACATTTTTTCTACAATATGTAATCAAAGTTCGTAAAATTTGAAAAATAAAATTAAATTGAGACGATTTTTTTGGGTTTGTGACGAGAGAATATAAATATGTTTTAAGTACAAAGTACTTCGTATAAACGATACGAAGTATGATATTTATATGGAGTACAAAATTAAAAATAATCACCCCTTGACTCGTAGAATTATTTATGTAACTTTTAAACACGGAGTGAATAATTTTTATTTTTAAATCCCTAAATAAATTGAATAAAAAATAATCGCAATCAAATATCTTAAACAGCAACAAACCACTTAAATTAAGCCGAAAAGAGCATATAAGGGTGCAGGCAAACATGGAAAATGGAAAAATGTTAGTATAAAAGAGAAAATAACCAAATGTATGTGCACTCTGCAGACAAGGGTAAAGCATAGAGCTTCTAGAAGACGCATAGAACTTCTAGAAGACGACGGTGTCGAGCATGGTTCCAAGAGTTTGAATGATGTTGGAAGACATCAAGTTAGAAACATGCTCTTCTAGATGCTTCTTCGCGTCTTGTCTTCCCACGTTTGCAATGGCCAGCTTTTCGGGAGACAACTCGTCCTCTTCCTGCACCGCTTTGTTATATTTGATTGCCAGGTTTAGCATTTCCTGCCACAAAAAAGATTGTCATCGTGAGAGAACACACAGGTGAGGGTTTTGCAACCACTAAACAGCTAAATAAGCGCGCGGGTAGCTTTTCGAGGGCTTATATATATCATGATTGAAAACCACCCAAGGAAAAGAAGCAAAGGTTTTCTCAGTTTCTTTGGGGTCCGTTTGGAACCGGGAAACTAATTCGGTATCACGGGGAACTTGGCACAGTTTATTATGACAGGTTTCCTACAGACAATAGTTTTGGGAAAAAAATGGAACAGTTTATTATTACTTGGACAGTTTCCTCATTGGTTTTGGAGTGGGAATCAAATCGCTGCAGTGTCAACCCATCTGTCCATTTCTTCTTGTGAAGATTCAGTAGCATCTTCTCTTCAAGTTCGTTCTTTCTGTAATTGATTGCTATGGAGTAGTAGTGCCGATTCAGCCCATGAATCAAGGCCTGCATGACCCAAATACCCATCACATCCGTAAAAAGACAATTCACCACACTTTCATGTATATATTTACTGCCTTCAGAGTAATATATAGATATATATTACTGTATTTAGCACTCACTTGAATAGAGGGTTTGTTTAGATGCCCTAAGTTTGATGTTGTCTGACGCGGCTCTTGTCCAAGCATCATCGTTTGTGGGCTGATTAAACGGAAGGCATCAATCACAACCTTCCCTTTAACACTTTGAATCGGATCAACCACCACGGCAACCGCTCGTTGGTTCAAAGCTTCAAAACTCTGCACATTGTAATATTATAAACCCAAAAAAAAAGTAGTGTGCACATTCAACAGCAAGTCCTCTGTCCCAAACGATGAGTTAACCTGAAATATGTATGTACACATGTAAAAATGCAGGCACCTGTTGAGTATTGATGTCCACGCCTGATAGCCAACAGCCAAAACCAGGATGTGAATGATACCAACCAACAACCATCTCTGGCCTGCAGCACCACAACAAAGGTTTAGACCGTACGTGTTGCTAAATATTAAAACCGCACCATTTCCAATATACAATAGAAAGTAAAAGAGAAGGGGACCATTCACAGATATATTAGCAAGAGATGATTATCCCTCAAATGTTAAGAGTTATTACAGGTTCATTGTAAAAACAAAAAAGTATTTCAGCTAATCAGCCCAGTCTCTATAATAACCGAGTGTTCTACGTTCCTATCTCAGCAGCACACGTCCCTACTTCCCATACAAACTTAGAATACAATAAAATTCTCTTTAGTGTAAGCAATTGAATAAACGGGTTAGCGAAAAATACACACATTTAGCTACCCTTTATTCCAATTGCTCCCCTGCTAACATTTGCTTGTTCTAATTCTGTATCTCTCTTACTACCAAAAATTTACCATAAACATCAGTCCCAGAAGAATTCCACAAAATGTGTGTACAAAGACTTTAACCCTACATGAAAACTACAGAGGTTGTTTGCAAGAGACCCCAGCTTAAGACACAGATGCACAACCACAAATGAAAGTACCACAACTACTGAACTACCTGACTAAAAAATATAGACCAAATGCCCATTCTAGGAGTCTCAACCTCATTGCGAACTATTGTTAAAGCAGGGACAGTTACAGAGATACCTCAATCTCATTGTGGAATATCAATGTGTTATAACCACACACATCATAATTAACAAACCACACATAATGTGAACTGAATGAGAGAAAAGGGTTTAATTTTGTGTATTTACTTTTTAAAAATTATTTTCTCACAGAGAATCTAATACACAAAACTTATAAAAAGAAAAACAAAAATAAAGAAACTATTAGTCCCTATTGGATCAGATTTTATTTTACATAGTAGGCACTTCAGAATTTCAAGGAATTTAGATATTTTTACCATGATAGTTGAACCAATACAAGAAGAAATAGTGAAAGAACTAGCCATACCTGCCCGTTTGCTTAAGCATGTCAAGCATATTGGTCTGGAAGACATGATCCACGGCTTCAACACTCACACCAGTCCCACTCTGTGGCATAGCAAACACGTCGACCACCCGGACAGTGTACTCATCCACAAATTCCCCCAACATCAATCCCATAACTTCCATCGGAACCCCAGCTCTCCCTGTTCAATGTCAACACAAAGCCCTAATTCTTATAACAAGCATGAAAGCGATACACCGCCCAATTTGCGGACTTCACAACATCATCAACAACAACAAAGCAGGGTCTAGGAGGTTAAATTACCCTCCTGATTGAAAAGTAATATCCAAATAGAAGAGGAAGAAGCCCTATGTTACCGTGTTTGAGCATCTTAAGGAGAGCCAAAGAAGAGATGTAGACTTGCTCTGATGAATCGAGTGTGGGAGAATCCGGCGGCGGGTGACCTAAGGCACCCCCAGCTCCGCCAAACATACGCTGCAATCTTTCCATTCCCGACATGGTTTCAAGATTTTTTTTCACCAGTTATCCCCCCTATGCGATAGCTGCATTGATTTCTTCTGAAACAAGAATGCTGTGGTAGGGAAGATTGAAGTTCTCCTTGATTTTTAAGTTTTAACACAAAAGTTATTGTGAGATAGTCTTTCAAAATGTTAAGTTGATGCCAAACTTAGCCAATTAACTTAGCTCGGAATACAACAGCAACAACAATGACATAGTGCCTCGAAGGCTCCTGTCACATTGCGGGGTAGGGGGTCGTATGTACAGGCTCTAACCCCTATGTTAAAACATAGAGCGCCTATTCCCAGTAAAAATAAAACTCAACTGAATCCAAACCAAATTAACCGACCAACTAAGATTATGTTTTTTTTCAAAATTATATACTTTGGTATGAAATGTAATGTCAAACAAATAACCTTATAAGATTATTTTTTTAAATCCGGTTTTGAAGTTTTATATAAACTTATTTTTTCAAATGAGACTTTAATGATATTGTATTGTTATCTTAATGTTTTTGAAAATTGTACACATTCAAATGTATACTCCCTCTGTCCCAAAATGAATTACATCTTTACTATTATGGGTTCTCGATAACTTTTGTTTGTTTTTATTGATCATTTGATAAACTAAAATATATATTCTTGTCACATTGTATTTTTGTAGGACTTTTGATATACTCCCTTTGTCCCATATCTTTCTTCTCACTTTCCTTTTTAAGGTCGTCCCATTTCTTTCTTCTCGTTTCCTAAAATAGAAATAAAATTAAAGCTAAAGGACTCTTTTGCCCTTCTAAGCCAACACCCAATTACTCCTTTTTAGTCCTCTCACGTCACCACCTTCATTTTCTTAGACAAAACAGCCAGAGCCGGCGAAAGAAGAGAGTCTCAGACGAAGGTCTTAACACAGCGTTGGGGCTCTGGTTTTCAATGGCGTGTAGCGTGGAGCAGAGGCGACAAAGGAGCGATGAACAACGACGACTTGTGGCTATCGCCGGCGGCAACCTGATGGCGACTCAGAGGTGACCTCACGGTGATCCATGGCAGAACCAAACCAGATCCGAAAAAATGGCGATCCAAACTGATAGCGACTTAGTGTTCACCAGATCTACCGCTAGAGCCTCAAGTTCATCTTCTCTCTCGCACATCGGCGTTGCCTTCTACCAGGAGGGTCGTTGCTAATGTTTTAAACATCGGTTCTCTCTCACCTTCAAGAACGCGTCCGATAAACCAAATCCAATTGATTGTTCGTTGCTCTTCAACTTTCTAGATTTGAAAAGTAGATTTGAATTTTATTTCTTCAATTATTTTAGATCTGAAATTTAGATTTTGATTATTTTTTTAATGAGCCGAGGTTGAAGAAAAAGAAGGGAGTTAAGAATAAAGGGGGTATGGCATGCGAAAAAGAAGAAAAATTAAAAGAAGGGGAAGAGGAAGAAGAAGAAGAAGGGGAGGTGGGGCGGGGTCAGATGGAAGAAGAAGAAGAAAACCAAAAGATAAGGTGGGGAGGAGAAAAGGTGAAGGGTAAAATAGGAAAGTCAAACACTTTTTCATTCCACATTAAAAACCGTGTCAAGTCAAAACGAGAAGTTTCAACTTGGGCGGAGGGAGTAGTTTTTAAATATATAATTTTTATTTTTTATTTCAATACCAATTTGTAAATAAAATCATTTTAGACGTTACGCAAGCTTGCACGTTGATTGAAAGGGGTAATTCATTGTGGGGTGGAGAGAGTATTATTTATGATATTTTGTGTGTATTTTTAAATTTCAAAAGAAAAAAACATTATAGTAGCTTTAGTGTGTGTGTGTATATATATACACACACACACACATGCATATATATAAATATAAAATAATATGCAAAATGAAACTGTTAACTTAGATTTAAGTATTACAAAAAACAAACGCTCATAACCGGTTGGGTTTACCAAACCCAATGATACTAGGTCATGAACATGTACTTACGGGTTGCGACAAAGAAGAAGGTCTCAAGATGAATAAGTTGAACCAATATCGAGTAAAACCTGTAAACTAGATTGAACAAAAAGAAGTAGATTTAAGATGTGAATGTAACTCTATGTTCAGGTTGATTACTTAAGAACCGGTAAGATTTTGTTCCATTTGGGTCTCAACCCACCAAATATTAAATTGGATACGATTGATGAAATGGAATTCAGAGCTTGAAGTACCACAACTCAAATTATTATAGGCATCACATTTTGGTTTATTGAAATTAGTTTAATTCAATTTATATGAAAAGGCACAGGTTTAATATATTAACCTTTTGCAAGGCTGATGAGTATTTTAAAACTTGAGCTCACAAAATTAAAATTACATGAGTATGTCAACTTTATAATCACCACTTGCCAGAATGGGAAAAAAACAGAGCGTTGATTTGGAGAGAGTTAGAGTTCCCACCGAATGGTGCACGTCAATTGCTAGAGGAGGATAAGCTGGGGTACTATACAGTGAGGAACCTTTCTTGAGGTTCTGAGGTTGTTACCTCTCCAGTTCGATTAAAAAAAATTATATCGGTGTAAAATTATTTTAAAAAATTGCATATTTGAAATTAAATTAACAAATTTATTATAACAAAATTATTAATATTCAAAAAAAAACAATCTATTACGGAGTAAATAAGAAATATCGAGAGTATTTTATTTTATAGCAATAAAAAAAACATGTGTTGAAGGATTACATACAAGAGCCCACAAAAGGAGCCCAAATTCGATAGCCCAAAACCCTTGTTCCTTCTTCATCGTTTCATCCCCGGGACAGCAAGACTGGGCGAGCTCCATCGTCGGCGCCAATCGACTCTCTCCATCGCCGACTTCACTGTTTCATCCTTCGTCGAACATTCGGAACTTCTTCAGCAATCTGTTTGTAATGGAGAAGGTAAAGAAATCGCAGAAATCATCAACTAAACCTGCAGAGGACATCAACGTTCTGAAAAATGAAATCGCTTCGTTTGCTTCATCCATCGGCCTCTCCTCCTTTCCGTCTGCCACTTCCGGCTTCGATGACTCCGATTTCCGGAAGCCTGGCCCGTCCAAAACTATCAAGAAGCCACCAGCTAACCAGAAGCCAGACAAACAGACGGAGAATGGCAAGGGCAACAATGTCAGCAGGAATTTCAAACAGAATAAGATGCCTCAACCTAAGCAGAATCCGTTAGACTTCAATGCTGTTAATAATTTGACGAAGAGTTTTGATAAATATAAGGGCCTTCCGAGGCTTCCCCTTATGAAAACCAGTGCATTGGGAGTGTGGTACGAGGATGCTGCTGAACTGGAGGAAAAGGTGATTGGGAAGAAGAAGGTTGAGTTCAAGAGCGTTGAAGAATGGAAGGCATTAGTGCAGAGGAAACAAGAGCTGGGTGAGAGGTTAATGGCTCAGTTCGCAGCTGACTACGTGTCCTCTAGTGGAGATACGAAGATGCTATCTAACACCCAGAGGTCAGGGACAGCTGCAGATAAGGTGTCTGCTTTTTCCATCATGATTGCCGACAATCCGGTTGCAAATTTGAGGTCGCTGGATGCTCTTTTGGGTAAGATTTCCCATAATTTCTATGTGCTCTGATTTCGAATTTCTACAAAGAAGATGGTAATAATTTGCTAAATAATTTGCATGTTCCTTCTTGCCTGGGGTGGCTATTTGGGTCACCAAGTTCCATTGACTTAGAATTATGCAGCTTTAGAAACTAGAATAATAAAACAGTATCCTAAATGATATTTTGGTTAATCGAATAAACAATGGAGTGCAGGAATGGTCACATCTAAAGTTGGAAAGCGACATGCACTCACAGGTTATGACTCTTTGAGAGAACTCTTTGTTTCCAGGTCAGAAATGCTGCTATACTACTTCATACTCCCTTCTCTCGTGTGTGATCATTTTATTGTCAAAGAACCTATTTTTTTGTTGTTTTTGCGTCGTGTCAAATGCTCTTAAATATCTGCGTAATTTTTGTGCCTGAAGATGAATCATTCAAAATTTGATACTGAATACATTTTTCATAGTCTTTTACCTGATCGCAAATTGAAGACGCTCTTTCAGCGGCCGCTAAATCATGTTCCTGACACAAAGGACGGCCACTCTCTTTTGCTCTTATGGTATTGGGAGGATTGCTTGAAGCAAAGGTATGATGCCTCTGTTTTCAATCCTCTAACGAGTGCTGTACTAATGTCAAACTGAAACTCTACTATGATGTTTAAATTTCTGGGGATTCATTTAGTTAACGGCTCTTATTTTTGTCTTCTTTAATGGTTTTGTAACTCCAATATCTCACACAATTATATTTTTTTGCATGTGATTTTGTTAGAATATCACCAACTCTCTTTCTATTTTGTCGACAATATTAATCCTCTAATTTCTTAGTTTTATGTTATGAACCTAATTTTGTAACACAGGTATGAAAGGTTTGTTATTGCTCTCGAAGAAGCTTCAAAAGATGTTTTAGATGCCCTTAAGGACAAGGCATTGAAGGTAGTCTGTCGATTTCCAATTTATTTATTGTCATGTAGTGCTTTTTTGGACTGTTGCATACATGTGTTTCTCCATCCTTTACATAATCTTCACTTTTCCACCTAGTTTCTCCTGACTTTTATTCTAAACTTCTCTTTTGTTTTCAACAACATATTTCAGGAAAGTAATGAATTGGTCTTATAAGCATAAAATAATGTTCTTACTTTGAATTTGGAGAGTTATGACTAGTTACCATTTTATACTCCCTTCGTCCCAAAATGTTTACCACATTTTGTTCAACGTGCCAAATATCATCGCTTTTAAAATCATTTTATTTACAAATTAATAGAGAAATAAAAAGTATAAATTACAACATTCAAAAGTACACCAAAAAGTATTACAAAATAAGATGCAACAATAATATTTATTTTATGAAATGGTCACTGAAAACGAGTAAACAAACAAAAATTATCAAGAAGCCGAAATAGTAGCCATGGCAATCTTTTTGGGACAAAGGAAGTATATTATAGTGTTAGAACAATATAGAGCCCATTTGGTAAAAGTTATATGGCTGAATGGCTGAAATGGTTTTTGCCAAATGCTCACACACAGCCATTTCAGCCAAATAATTATGAGAAAAGTTACTTAGTACTCCATATTTATTATTTTGCTTATTCTGAAAGCTTACCTAGTGTCTCCTTTTTGTGTGTGTGAAGACCATTTATGTGTTGTTGAGGAGCAAATCTGAACAAGAACGCCGTCTGCTCACTTCCCTTGTAAACAAAGTAATCCTTCCTCACCTCAAGTATCACAACTTTTGTAACTACATTACAATTTTTTTTGATACTTTGCTTGCATCAGCTTGGAGATCCTAATAGCAAAGCTGCGTCCAATGCTGACTATCACCTGCTTAAGCTCCTCGGTGAGCATCCTAATATGAAGGTAGGAGAGATTGTTAATTACTTGAGCGAGTATTTTATACTCTCTACATCCCATAAAAATGTTTTGAATAGCTATTCATATTTCATAGAGTCAAACCAAATCTTTTTTTTCTTAAGTATTTTCATTGATCATTTTGTTAAAACATTATAGTCAAATCACCTCTTGTTTTGTAAAACTTTTGGTGTAGTTTTTCAAGATAAATTTATTTTGTAATTCTACACAACTTATTAAATAAATTGAATAGAAAATAGCTATGGTCAAACATTGTTAATTGTAATGAAAAGTTTTTATGGGACAGGAGTATAGGTTGCAGTATTCTACTTTAGGTTCTCGCATATAATGATGATACTAATTAGATTGCGTGTTTATACTTTTTCATTGTTTGGACATTAGCCGGACCAAGATATATATCTAGACTTACTTCGTGAAGACTTGTCACTGTGACTTTACAATGGCCATTAAAGCCCATTTACGTTGACCCAGGTCAATGATACAAGAATGTGATGAGGTCACAGGTTACACCTAATGGTGTCTTACACTGCCTTAGTGATACCCCACAAAACAGGTTACCATGTGCTCCGCCCTATTAGAGGAAGACACATGGCGTGATTGTATGCTAGTAAAAGACATGTCCAGTGCAGGCTTACATGCAATCTGTATTTTAGAGAGAGCTTGACATCTTGCATGACTGTTGGCACTCTTCCACTATAAATACATCTCCTCGTTACTCATTATAGGGGGGTGGGGGAGGGGGGATTGTATTCCTTTGCC